CTGGACTTGCATCGATTTTCACCGCTGAATTAATATTTACATAAATGAAATTGATGTCACGCAGAGTGAAGATTGTAAAACGTTATTGCTAATACAGTACTTCTGTATCTCCTCTCGGATTCCTCCAGGCTCTACTGCGTGCCTCCATTCGGTAATTTTCACTCCTTAAAGATAATTTTTTATGGAATCTGTCCAAAATTCTGAGAGAGCGAAAATCGCCCTTCATTTTTTGGGACCGCATATTGAAGAATGAGTCCATGAAGCCAAGGGTGACTAAGGTTCTGCTGAACCAAAGCCTGTGGAGACCTTGTCAGTGCAGCTTCCCAGGAATGGAAGTATCTGCTGCATCCGTCCTTTTTCACTTCTTGAACTCCTCTCTCGTCCTCGCGTCTGTTCAGATTCTCGGAACATCCGCAGCAATTTCGTACGGAAGACCATTCTGGCATAATTTACTTATGGATAAATGCATTAGGAGCAATACCAAGGTTGCTTAGCGCTGCTCCAAGTTCTTATTATTCCCCGCACTTCCATCTGCTCTGCTTTCTTCAAGGATTCAAATTCATGTACAATAGTATACTTTCTTGTTCTGTTCTTCCTCTACCTCCATATCACCGAAATGGCTGGAGAAACATGAGTGAGAATTTTAGAACGTTTAAAGGAGGCGTCGAATTCCTTGTAATAAACACGTTGCCCTGACATCTAATACCTCAACATCTCCAAGGAATCTTAATGCGGGCGTCACTCGGTATATAAACACTAGAAATGAGTTAGCGATCTTGAAAAAAGGTGCAATTGCCCGCACTAGCGGTTCAACTACGTTCCCAAGGACGTTCAGGGAACGTCGGCAATACCTTTTACTAAGCCTTCTATATGCATCGATTACTCGTTGTGACGTTGTGACTAGCGTATGTGCACATTTGAAATAACTTCGGGAACTTTAAATTTCTTTTTTTTTATAAAGCCTAATTAAGCCAAGTCGTTCAAGGAAACGGATCTTCGATTGAGACATATCAGAAGGATGTTACATTTCTTTCCTGTAGTTTTCGCATTTTGGGGGAAATTTGTTTACATGGGCTCAGAAGGGACGTGACATCAGTGAAGAATCCGTTGAATTAGGTTACCTCTTATTGCGATTCTTGAATAACTGGAATTTTAACTCACCTCTAAATAAGTGGCATTTGAAGTCCTAGAATGAGCCCTTCCCATGTCCACGTGTCCGATCGGAATGCGGAATTGCCGCCTCTTGGAAACACATCTTGGCTGCCTAATGTGCGAAGCGAATAACAGCACATGATATCCCGTCATGTTGCACATGTGAGTAAAACGATGTCGGTGGCGTCATGACCATCCCGTTTCTCTATCTCAAATTTCTCGATTGGACCTCAAGTTCCAGGCCTGCCTTTGCTGAGATTGCTTTGCCGACGAAGGTGATAACGTTACGCCGCTCTTATATCGTCAGAGTCGACTTATTTTACCCACGGCCTGAGGCATGAAATAAAAATAACTTTAGTTCGTTTGACGAAGTGAACGTTCAAAGAATAAACATTGGCTGAAGGAGACAAAGGGCCACTACGAGTTGCCACCCAGTCCTACTCTGATGCGTATGAATCACTTCGCACGTGAATCGCCGGCATTGTGCTTAGACCTCTTCCCAATCGCTCTTTTCTGCTATTAGCCTAAACTGAAGTATTGGACCCATTTTCATGATAAAAATAAGTCTTGGAACGACTCGATAGGGCTTACTTGTTCCTCTGAGAACCAATTGTGTCTTCTGTGCTGGGGCTGTTTTGATGCGAGTTAGTATTTAGAATAAGGTTGGGTTGGAAAATCGGGGGAAATCCCATAGGGGTGAATGGTGACAATATGCCATAAGCCGGACAAGTATGGCTTCTAATTGCAGCACGCATGCCTATACTGTTCTCATGGATGTACCATCTCCAGTTATTTCTTTGTTCAGTGGCTCTCCCATAGCCATAGTAACAAGTACACACAACGTGGCATGAGGCTATTAAAGCTCGGAAACGTGCGCGGCGGGTTGCGATGTGAGTAGCGTGAGGCCGTCAATAAAAGCCCATATACCACATAGTCCTACGAGGCGACGATTTTAGTTAACGTCTTCATCTTTGGGTCGCCCTTCGTCCTCGCTCGGCATCAGTTTCCCGTCCTTTGCAATGACAATTAGCGAAGCGCATAGACAGACTGAGAAATTAAGGGTGCTTCTGATACGTCACGTCTTCTCACATGGCCAGCTAGGGGCCATGCGCGCATTCGCTGCTTTCAAATACTTACGTGCTCTTGTAGGGACTACCTACTAGTACCTGTAATTAGTCGAAGGTCTACCCCTGCGTTTTGTGTTTTGTCGTGACAAAGGACGGGGAACTGACGCCGAGCGAAGACGAAGGGTAACCCAGAGATCAAGGCGTTACCTTAAATCGTCGCGTTGTAGAATAATGGTGTGTGGGATTATATTGGCAGCCTCACGTTACTCACATCGCAACCGGCCGCGCAAGTATCCGAACGGTAGTGGCCTTTGGCCATGCTGCATGCACATGTCACAATGCCTATAGGAGAGCACAAGCGATCGCGCTGTGCACACGCGTGAGTCCATGTGTGCGCGCACATGCCACTGGCCACCACCAGTTCGGACTACAATAGATTTCTTTATATACATGACCAGACCCGATTTGAACGAGGAAGCTTCATTCTAGAAACCATCAGACAAGGTTGAAAGAAAAATTTTCCTCAAGGTGCCGCCATTCCCCACTCTCGCCCTAGTAGTGGAGCCGAAGTTGTTAGTTGTAAGTTCTACTCCCCCTTTCCCCCATCTCCTTTCCCCTCGCTTAGGCGTTGCGATCCCTGTGGAGTTATCTGAGAACTAACATGAATATATTTCTGGGCTGGGGCTAAGGTCCATGGGGCTCAAAACGTACGATGTAACGATTACATAGGAAAATCATGGTGTTCCCCAATGCACTGGAATGACACTGACCTTGCCCCCTAATTCAACACTGTATGAGATTTTCCTGATTCTTTTTATTACTTCCTTTATCAATCTCTCTGTCAATTATCAGCTGCATCTGAGAATTTTTTTCAAAAGATATGGTCAAATTTGGATTTTGACCTAACAAGTGAACTATTTTTTGTCATAACTTTTTAAGGTAAAGTCAGGTGCAGCTGATGTTTCACAGCGGTGTTTATGGGTCCATGACTTATTCGTTCCCTTACGCGGCACATTTTTCTACATGTTGACAGGTGGCGCTGTGGTGGCTCTGTAAGAAATAACCTTACACGAGTACACGCAAAAAAATGACTCAGTTGCCACCTCCACAGGTGCATTCGAGATAAATGCCACTCCAACTATCGCAACATAATTTTCTCCTGGAACTCAATTTGCTGGAACTGGTGTCTGAGAGCGGTGAAAAATGTGCAGGTGTTCTGAATAAGGCGTAAAAGGAGTATGTGTCCGGGTACGACCTTAGAAAGTACTATAATAATAAGGATAGTATTAGCCTAGTGGAGCATGTATTCCCTATAACCCTCAGAGACTACTGCCCTTTTTAGGGTCGCCCCCCTCCGCGCATCACCCCTCCACCTTCTACATCTGATTCCTGGCAAATCCGAATTCGTTCAGTGTCTCATTTCAATGTTAATAGAAGTCAGTCGTAAGCATATAACCTAAATGCAATACTTCATGGGTTCAAATTTCATGAAGTCCTACCATCCTGACGTTGTAAGGCCTCATTTCGACGATAAAAATGGCATTGTACTGAATGCCTTCCAAGGCGAATGTTCAAACCAATAATGAGAGTACGATGCATTTTCGGCTACGGACGTTGTTGTTATGGTAACTGTTGGCAATGATCTCACGCCAGAGTTTCGTCGTGTTACCAGTTCCGTCAACGGTTTTCGATGGGGCTTCACTTAGGCCTACACAGATTCAATTTGCGCTCCATATTATTATTTTCAAATTTTGTGTTGCTCTCACAGTGCCAGTGAAAAAAAAACCCCCTCTGTGGGATAGTTTCAGTTGCGATATCTTCTTTATACGTGCGATAGCCATCATGCAGTTGTGGGATTCTGACTAAAAAAGGAAATGAAAAACATGAAAGGAAAATATAATGCCGTGTCGTCACCGATTCAACCATCACTTTCCTATTCAAAAGTTACATCGTTTGTCCGACGATGAACAAGTATACTACGTATTATTGAAAATCTTTTCAAGGGTTTGCCTTCTTGGTCTCAAAATCACCGGAGTGATATGAAATTTACCAAACTTGAAATAGTTTTGAGCCCCACAAACTTTTGGCCCAGTCCAGGAATATAATTTTATGTCTAGGATAACTACATAGAGGTCGCGACGCTTGGGCGATGGTGCGTGAGATGGGGGGAAGTGGGAGTAGAACATATAACTAAGAAACTTTAGCTCCACTACTAGGGTGAGAGTTGGGAATGGAAACATTTTCAATTCAACCTTGTTTGGTGGTTTGTGTAATGTAGCTTCATCGTTCACGTTGCTTTAAAAGGGCAGCCGCTGAGAGGAAACTACCTGTACAACAACAAATATTGTTTCGCGAAGCACAACTCAACATTTTTACTTCCATTATCTAAGAGTGGATTTCTCCCCGTACCTAGGGAACTGGAAGGGAAAGCAGAACGATTTAAAGTGAATAAATTCAAGGAGAAAGAGTTCGAGAATGGATAATGAATCTTAACTTTCACTTTACACTGACGAACATTTTATTGTTCCTATTGTCACGGATCCATTCTTTACCCATTTGCGGTCCAAGTTATTTATATTGTTACAGAGATTGTCAAAGTCAAACAGTGGACACAAAGAGTTAACGAAGTTGGTTTCAGCGGTAAAGATTTTGAAAGGAATCCACGAAATTCATCTATATCCCGTTCCACAGGCCAAGAAAATCTGGTGAGTCGCATTCTCAGTGCGAAATCTCATCAACAATGAAAAGCATATATGAAGATGTCAATCTATAAATATGAACGCCTATATGGAATGAAGGAAGGAATTTTTATTATAGTATTAAGGTACATTGAACCATATGATCTTGGAAGAAGAAGAGACGAGGCCCCAAATTAGGGTGCTGGGCACCACTCGCCGTCGGTGGCGTACTTCATGATGAAGTCGTTCACGTAACCTGAAAATGGACAATATTTGTCAAATCCAGATAATATTGAGACAATGCAATTTTAAGAGCATATCAATCACAGACTTGATGTCCTCGTGAAGACACCGCCGTGTTCAGTAACACAACCTATATCCCCGTAAGAGACGATGCCAACATGCTCATAATATCCAGTTGAAGTTTGGTACATCAAAGGCCCTCCTGAATCTCCCTAGAATGGTATCTTGGTGGTATTATCATAGATTGCAGTGTATTCCCCTTCAGAATTAAACTCACGCTGCAAGTATTTCGTCCCGGCGTCAGGGTACATATCTGCTTGTTGGTGATGTCAGAGAACCATCTCGAACATGTCTTTTGACTAATAATTGTCAATGCAGCTTCATTCAATTGCGGAGATTTTTTTTTACCTGAAACGTCATGGAAAGTTGTGCATTATGGAAAAATCCAGAAAAATTAGGGCTAGTCAGTCAATTTTCGACATACTGTTCTCCTGAATAATGCCCCATCCAGTGATCGTCACTGTCGATCCCGGAGAGGGATTTGCCAGGGGTGAAGTACAAATGGGACGGATGTTGGGATACTCTATGAAGTTCACTGGCGTTGTGAGTTGTAGTAAGGCGATGTCATTAATGATGATATCCGGGTCATATTGTGGATGCATGATGGCTTTCGCTGTAACCTGATAGGATTGACCGGCTGGCCACTTGAACTTATACAGGGATCCCAGTGTGACCCAATAGGTTCCGGAAGGGCTGACGCAAGAAGATGAGGAGATGATCGGCATCTTATCGGGCTTTAGTTCAAAGCCAAAACGTACAAAGAAAGATGCGCTTACTCGTCTGCAACACAGTGAGCAGCAGTGATAAGATACCGACTGTTGATAAGGGAGGCTCCGCAGATGGAAGTATATTTGCTAGGCCCCATCCACGCCATCCAGGGATATTTCTTTTGAGAGGGGACCGGAGTTCCTCCGATGACTCGGTCGAAATCGAGCACATCTCCTTGGGGGTCCAGGGATCTCTGTCCCGTTTGAGAGACTCCGCACTCTAACAATGAAGTTGTGTCGGGAACCGCATTATAGTACATTTAAATGTACGAAAGATATAAGATGAAATATAGGATGTGCCTTGACTTACTGCAATTAGAAGATGCTGAATGATAATCTGGGAAATGATAAGCACGTCTCAGGATTAAAATGATAGATCAATGGAATAGCATCACATATTCTGAATGATCACTTGATTTTCCGAACTAGACCAAAGAGACCTCATGGATGCGTCATTATTTCAACTTTATTGCTTTTTAAAGATTTTATTACCATAGCCATAGACCAATCTCAGTGAAAATACCCTTTTTGCGGTTTTCATTGGTATTTCTGACCATTGTGCCAAAAATTACCGCATCTGTATACCTCTTGGAGAGTTCGACTGGTGTCTTATGGAATATCCTTTTATCATCAAAGTCTTGAAGGGAGATAGCTTCCTTTCATTCTAACTTGCTTGAAGCGATTATTGACTGTTTCAATATATTTGCATACATCATATTATCTACGTGTTTAACTATACCGACTCAAAGCAAATGAAAAATACAATCCACCCATCTAAGAAAACGGAATGCTGGAGACAGGTATCCCTTACCTCGCAAAAAGAGAGAAGATAGGGAAAGCCCAAAATGCCCAACCCCATTTTCTTCCTCGCACTACAGGAATATAAAATCGCTCTGACATGATGAAATACGCGCCTAGTCCAATATACAAATAGAAGGTAGGGACTGACCTGGACATGAAAGGCGAGTGAAAGAGAAAGGAAGACAATGATGGTAGTTATTTCCATGCTTGAAACGCTGGGCTGGCAACTCCGTCCAAAGAGGAAATGTGGTACGGATCCACATCAAGGCCATGGAATGTATATCCTCCATCGTGACGTCACCAGGAATAATTACTATTTGCATATGTGCAACATCAGACACGAACTACGAAACTTTCCAAATCATTTTCCTTTCACATCGCATTTCCTTTCAATCCGGTCCTCATCGGATTTAGGATTTGCAATGAAACATGAAGCTGTGCAATGTCCTCGCATGTCATCTCCATGAGAAGAGGAAAAATACAGGATGATAGCGGTTTTTTTCCACACCAGCAAACGAACTCGCTATGGACGCGCCTTCGGCGGTCTACGGACAAAGAAAATCACTAATGCATTTATAGCATCTTTTTCCGAAGCGCATACATAATGATTCGGTCAAACACCATGGGTGATGGCTTCTCAATTCTTCGCAAGCCTTCGGCCCTCGGGCCTTAAAAATATAGTTCCATCAGAAAGCATTCATATTGACGTCATTTGGCTTCCAAAATGAAGATCAGGCAAAAAGTAAAATTTCACAGTGTGTCGTATAGTGTGTGAATTTAATTCCTGATGATGATAGACAAATTCTTCCAAGCATATAAATACTGTATCTAAAATTCATTTAGTAGCAGGCTCACGAGTTTAGCCTTTTAAAGCAAAAAGTTTTTTGTTGCCTATGTTGACTGGTTGGAGAATTCTTGTTATATTGATATCTATATTTACGTGAAAGACCTTTAATTAAGTCCCTTTTTTAACTCTTCCGAACGCTACATACTGTTGACTATAAGTAAATTCATGATAGGAGAAACAAACATTTGTCCATAAAACTAAAACCCGTGATACCGAATGAGCTATGGCAATCATTCCTCTGGAATCTCTTGGATTTAATCTCCGCCGTCTTGCATTCCATTCCGAGAGCATTCATACTACTCAAGCTAAAGATTATTGCAAATTCCACTCCCCCCCCCCACTCCCCTCAACCACCCAAAGGTCAACAGAGCTTAATAAGAATTCAAACATCGTAAGAATTCCATTACTCTGGTAATTGCCCTTTACCCTGCCATGAAATTCGACACAGGAGGCAATCTTTCCTTTCAAATATTTTAAATTTTCTTTCATAATTTCCGGGTTGGTAAATATTCCTTCATTCTCTCAACAGCAAGGGCATAGATCTCTGTGGATACTTAGTGTTTCGGGAACTCTTCAGCATCTAGAGAATCTCTTTAGTCTCAGATTGCTGCAAAAACCAAGTAGTCTCCATTTTTTCCAGTATCTCCTACAGATATCCGAAAATGCGAATGTCATGGAAGCCTTAAATGCTTTTGAAGGGAACGAAACAATGCCCGCAGATAGGATTGAAATCTTCCTGCGCATCATCGCAAATTTAATTCTGTAAGAACATGGAATTCTCAAATGTCCCGTTTGTCTACGTAACCCCAGCGATACGTAACGCTGACACAGTTTTTGATATAGGGTACAGATGGGAGAACTGCGTCAAATTCAAGGGTAATTCAAGGGTTATTGGTAGAGTCGAGAAAAGGGACCAGCAATGATGCTTAAAAGCACCTACTTTCCGGTCTACACTCGTTTCAGCAAGCCGAATTCCATATATAGTCTCCATGACGTCTTTTAAAATAATTCAAACGCATACCTGTAACGATTTCATGAGATTTGGATTGGAGTTCTTGGCTTTCACATTGCAAGGAATATTCAAGTTTTCAGGCGAGTTCCGAACAACTTGAGGCATGAAATGATCCTCATCCAGTAATTCGATGATTCGCGAGATTCATTTCCTCAGTTTCAGATGAAAGGGGCACACCCTAGCATCCATAGAAATAGAGAATAATTGCGAACCAACATCTTGCCACGTGCAGAAAACGGCACGGAATGGAGATTCTCTGAGCTATGTCGAAACGCGAATCTGCTTTGTGTGCCCGCAGCCCTTGGGATGGACAGCCGTATACGTGGTAAAGGCTAAGGTTTCCCCTCTGGAGCATCTATCCTAGTGCAAAACTCGTGCCAACACGAATTTAAGCTAAAATCATCTTCCCCGATAATCGTGAAATCGGGATCTAAGCTCCTTTTGTTCAGCATTTGTGGTCTATTTTGTAGCAATAATGATAACCTCATTTTAATGAGGTTTTCTCACCTCCGGGCACTTCTCTCTAAATATTAAAACCATGGAGATTCGAGCGCACGAAGTGCATTGCCGGATGTTCAGACTGGAATAACGGGAAGATTTTGAAGGTGTAACAGGCGGGCAGACCTGCTCATAGACCCCCAATGAGGAGACCATTCAAACCCATCCCAGCTAACAGTAGAACCTCTTGATCCATCCGTATAATAAGCCAATTTGATTTGATGATCAACTCAAAAGTGATTTCTCAAATGTGTGCCTTTAATGTGAATATATAATAATATGAATGGAATATAAATTTCGTTCTGGGCTTTTGCCTTCAGGAGGCGATTACTTGGAGCTGATCCAACCATGATAGGAATAATGATATCACAAAAGATTCCAGCATTGGCCTGTGTACGAGGAAACGTGGAATAAGTGAACACCTGCACATTTTTCACAACTCTCAGACACCAGTTCCAGCTAATTGAGATGAGGGAGAAAATTATATTGCGGTTGTTGAACTGGCAGTTCTCTGGAATGCACCTGTGGAGGTGGCAACAGTCATTTTTGTCGTCTGCTCGTTCAAGGACATTTCTCACAGAGCGAATGCTGGGACCCAGGGAAAATTCAAGAACCGGAGTTGCTATTTCGGCAGAGCGCCGTCACGGGAATGGAAGGATTCCCTATTCTTTTTTTTCTTGTGTTGCTTCTCTTGCCTCATTTCTTCCACGGATGTTGAGGTGCAGTCGGAGTCCTTTTTGGTGGCATCTAAATCCAGGGCTCTTTCGAAGCGACTATACTAGTTATGATGTGGTATCTCTGAAGGATGAGAGGAATGCAATGTTGGAGGAATTGCAATTGATTCATTCCATTTTCCATATATCGTCCGAATGGTCAATTCTTGCTGCCTACACAGCAAATAATAAGGGTGAGTGTAGGGTTGTGGGAGGGTTGAAAAATGGATGTAGATGCATGTGGAGGCGCATTTTCACCGATGCGTGTCCATTCCCTCCCTAAGATGTTCCCTTGACACTTTTAAGGGCGTCCAGGCTCTCCTTATTATCAGGTGGATGCATATAAGCACCATCAGGATATGCATTAGTCTTTTCAACTGAAAGTCTGGAATAATCCTCTCCCCGCTTTGCTCACCTCTACCAGATGGTCGACCCCATGGGGTTAATTCTCACACCAATTTGTGCTCCCGCTCGACTATAAAAACGGGGTCGGATTAAAGTTGCAGGAGCCCCGAGGCAGAACACACAACACCCTTAGCCTAATCCTGGGAAGGAGTTGGATATCCGAAGATGAAATCTTCTCCTCCTCTTGTCACTTTTTTCATCAAATCCATAGGCTTGATTATTCTGAGGTTCTGTGGCCCATACATTGTTCGCCTATTCAATGATGAGGATTAAACCTTTCGTTTTCATTGGACGAAGCAGCTGGATATATTCATGTAGAGGTGAAGTTACCAATACTGATGTAAGATGTAACATCAGTCGTCCATCCAGTCTGACACAGGTGAAGAAATCATGCGTCGTCTCCGGGATTTCCTATATAGAATAGCTGATTTTCGTTCTTACAATGAAATAATGAAAGTCAGCTCAGGGAGCTGACTTTCATTTCATAATAATCTCATAATAGAGTAGAATTCCAATGTATTACACTGGCTGTAAGAACAAAAATCAGAGAGTTAAATCCTCATCATTATTGCGTAGGCGATCCAGGCGAGAGGGATCCAGGCTTCAAGTGCAACCCACGTCTTCAGCTTAGATGAGGAACTGAAGTGGATCCACGGTAACCACAGTGAGCATTCATACCCTAGTTTCATGGTGATTACGTGCATCCCTAAGGTGGCCGTCCAGTTAACAAGCATTCACACCCTTAAGGGTGCGAGATCTCACTTTTATTATCTTCTATGTAGTGGAAACTCATTCTAATAGAGGTTTTTCTTCACTATCTTTCAGGATTCAAAGTATAAAATGATGTGGGATTCTTGGTAGTTGAAAGTGTATGTTCGGCAACGATTCCCTACGTCATTCATCTTTCACATTACTAGAAAAATAAAAGGTGGGTGACAAGGT